GAGAGAGAGAGAGAGAGAGAGAGAGAGAGAGAGAGAGAGAGAGAGAGAGTTTGGCCTTGCGGTCCGTAGCTTCGATCCGTGATTCTTTGGGTCCTATTTCAAAGGAACTTCTGGGACGATATTTTCGTCGAGAACACGTGCCTTCCTCATAGGTTCGAGGATTCTTCGGTGCTGGACCGATACTGGAGAAAGGTCTAGGACTCTGCTTTGGCGAGAGTTTAGGAGGAACTCTTCTCGGTCTCGCTGCTTCTATCTAGAGGGACAGGGAATAGAGGCTACAAACTAAACGGTTACACGTTACATTAAATCTATCCCTTCTCTTCGTACTTTATGCTGATCCCTCGCGTACGTACGTAAACCCGCGGCGAGGCGAAATACATAGAATTTAGGATATCTCCGTTTCAACTGGCCTTATCGTGACTTCTTTCTGTTCAACGATGTGTCCTTTTATGCGTGACGATCCGAATTTCGACGAAAGGTATGTGTAACAATCAGCTGAAGAAACAACTTAGGAGTATCATCAATATTTGTTTTCTTTCTCTCCCGTATGGATTCTCATTTTGATTGGCAATGAGCCGCGCCTTTCGCTCATTCTTCCATATCCGAACTCGTTCACTCTCTAACAATATTCCTTAACTCGAACATTCACTCAACTTCTCAAAACAAAGGGGGAAACAAAAACAAGAACGTATAGGTTGGTCTATATAGCAGAGGTCTATACAAAATAAATAATGATACATCTATAAAAATTAATCAAAGATATTAATGCAAATTCGGCGGATACAGATACAAGAAACGATGCAATCTCCTCTGATACTCCGGTTAATTTTTTTTTTTTATTTTTTGCTTACGAAAAAAGAGATCGAAATTGAAAAAATAAGATAAATCAAATAGCAAAAAGAAAAAAATTAACATGATCAAGAGATAGTGACTTCTACGTCGGGGCTCGTGGATGACTCTCTGTACTTAATGGCAGATGCCGTTTGTTTACGATACTTCGCGTTTCTTGTGCAAATGTATGTATGTAGTTTCCTATGTACGTATTAATACACGTGCGTACTGTGTGCGTGTAGGTTGAATGCAATATGCGAGATTATCGTAACCTTGGCTGCTCGTCGTCGACATACGTATATGTATATATAATTTTCATGATCGTGTTTGCTTTTGTGCCGTGCACGAGCGACTGTTTTTGTTCTTTCATCGTGTCTCGCCTGGTACGACTTGCTTCGTGCGTGTCGAAAAGAACATAAAATCAACCGCCGGAGCAGCCATGTCGGCGCTTCATCGGCAGTGAACGCTCGGAACCTTTTGTTTGTAATAAAACGCTTCCAACGACACCCGACCCACGGTGGTGTCATCATCGATTTCTTGTCTCGACCCTTGAGGCAGGGAAAGATCTTCGAGGAGAAGCTGTCAAGATGTGTAACAGCACGTGCTCTTCGGAGGTACGCCGAGTGATCCTTGAGAAAGGGGAGGAGAAAAAGGAAGCGTGTACGCGACTCTGGAGAGATTTGGCTGTCAGCAGCCTTGGTGCTCCTCTCCGTCCTGCCGTTCTTCCTTTCGCCACGCTTCTTTCTCGATCATCGTTACATACATTCGAGTGTCGGGCGAACGATGTTCATACTAGAAGCGTTGGTATTCGCGAGTGATTTTATCGCCGACCTTGCCACGTCGCCAGTTCAAGTCGACGACGCGCCTCCGGTAGTCTTTTTTACCACCACAATCCAAAACGTTTTTAAATTCGCTGCTGCTGCTGTTGCTGCTACCGCTGTCGCCGTGGCCTTTCTTACTGCTCCTGTTGCTGTCTATCGTATGTCCAAATTTTCTGATCATCGTCAACTCTGGTGAACCTGGCGAGTAGTTGGCCTCCATCGAGGATACGGACACGCCGACTTCGGTGGTCAAGTGGTGGTACTTAATGCTTATACTGTATGCTGATTGGCTGCAGTTGGTTCTTTGGAGGAACGTTTTGGGGTTAACCCCAAGTTAGTTCCAAATACGCAGGAACGAGTCCCAGGAGCCTGTCCCTACGGCCATTCCATCCTCCGTAACACCCAGGCAAGATACGCGATTATCATGACCAGCAAGGATTCCTGGAAAATAAAAATGAAGCATCTCGAAAAGGTCAGTATTCCCTTCGAATGAGTGCAGGACACGTCTAGAATGCAAGGTGTAGTATATAAATAAACTGATGAGCACATATACTTGTGCAAACAACATTAGAGTAAAAGAAAGAAGAATATCTTCTCATAAGAGTGCATTTGCATAAACAAAGTAAAAATATTATAAGATATTAGAACAAAAAATCCACTAAAGGGAGAATGAACAGAGAGAGAAGGGCTTGAAATAAAATTTCTCTTCTCTCCTGAAGTGACTCTGCTAATCGAGGTAAGAACGCACCAGCTCTCTCGGCCTTCATAGAATCCCAAACGTTGCAGTTGAAATCGTCGTAGCCGGCCAGCAATAATCTACCGCTCTTGCTGAACCCTACGCTCGTGATACCGCAGATAATATTGTCGTGGCTGTACATCGCCAGTTCTTGATCCGCCCTAATGTCGAAGAGTCTGCAAGTAGCGTCGTCCGAACCCGTCGCGAAAGCGTATCCATTCGGGAAGAACTGTGCATGATAAAATGTATCAAATTGTTCAGATAAGAATGATGTTCTGTCACTGCTCCGGCCAAGGAAAAGATAAAAACTCGATATTAAAAAAGTCAAGCCCTTACCGTGACTGCGTTTATGTCGCTCTCGTGACCCGGGAATGTCTGCTTGCAAGTTCCTTCGCGAATGTCCCAGAGTTTTGCACTCGCGTCACATGCGCCAGATACGAATGTGCGCGTGTCTGGTGCCAACGACAGGGACATTACGTCGCCCGTGTGTCCAATGAAAGAGGTACACTGTTGCCCAGATTCTATGTCCCACAGGGCACTAATTGAGAAAAAAAATGCCATTGCGACGCGGTTCACACAATCGTACGAGCTATATAATTACCAATGGAAGGAGGAATATCCGTAGGAATCAAGTGAAAGGATCGAGGTGTATTTTAATTATACATTCGCTTTAATCTTCGGTGCCACGTTTACATGGCAACTTGCTAAACTAAATCAAATCAAGTGGTTTTCAAAAGTAATTGGAATATAGTTGATGGGAATTAGAAGCAACCGTTTGCTTGATGGAACTGAAGATGTGAAAAATGGTTCTTACCAAGTCATGTCCCCAGAACTAGTGACAATTTGGTTGTCATCATAGAATCGACAGCACGACAAGTACCCAGTGTGCCCTGGGAGTTCTCTGCTGACTCTTACATTTCCTTCCCTAGTTTTAAGACTATAGATGGAGCAAATGTTATCCAGTCCACCGCAAGCCACATAACTACCGGATGGTGCATATGCACAGGTCATCACCCATGAGGAGCGCAAGGGAATCGCGTGAACTTTGTTGGTGGTATAACTATCCCAAACGATCAATTTTCCATCTTGCGATGCCGATACCAAGTTTCTATAAATCAAATGAAATAGAAATGATTTTTTTTTTTTTTTTAATTTTGACACGTGAGAGTAATACTAAAATAAGATACAACAAGTCAAGTTACCTTGAATCACTGCCCCAGTGCATCGCATAAATCTTGGCTAAGTGACCACGAAGCGTGCGTCTCGTCCGCATCTGTATCCGGCCAATAGGATCCATGCCCGACGTGGCCTGGACCAACGTCGTGTCGCATGCTGCTTTTCTGGCATCCTAAAAAAGGAAATGTATAAAATATTTCAAGTTTCACATTTTGTCTTTATATCTTATTGCCCGTGTACTTTTAACATAAAAACGCAATCTGACAGTGTAATACAGATTCTACATAGTCCAACATCAGCCATGTTATTTTTGGGGTGTATACCAATCGGGTTGGTTAATGAGTTTCCCGTGAAAATTTCGCTCAAACACATGGTGCGCGTGCACAAATTTAGCCGACGAAAGGTCAGATGTCGTATTCGAACGAGCTACGTCAGTGAAACGAGCGAAACGTCGAAAATGCCATGAATTACCGGGGTTTAAAAAGAAATTCATGATCTGGAAAAAAAAAAAAAAACGAGTTTTAGAGAGCCGATAGCACTTCAGATTGACCTTTCGAGGTAACTCGGAATGCAACAGCGTGTTCTTGCTGAGAAATTGCGTTTACGATTTACCTGAAACGACCCAATTGACAATGATTCTCATCGATGCGAGGAACGAACCTTTCCAGCGGAGTGTTTTCACGATTATTTCCCTACGGTTTAGCATTGGATAGCCGTCGAGTTGGAAAGTAAACGGCGATGAATGGAAGAAACAAGGGAATCGTTGAAATATCATCGCGGTATGTTAAAAACGTTCATTCTATTTATCGCAGCCGCGTATTACCGTGCATGCCTGACGATGCGTGTAACTTCACGCACGCTGAAAGAAGGGAGAAAGAGCGAAACATGCGGATAGAAGAAACAAGACGGAAAGCGCGCGCTAGAGAGAGAGAGAGAGAGAGAGAGAGGGATGGTGGCGTATTGATCAGAGAGAAGCG